CACCAGCTCTTCTCTCTCCTTGCCTCCTGTTGCTCTGCCCCTTCCACTTTCCTGTCATGCTCCAGCAAGACAGAGACACTGCCACATCGCTGCTGACCTGTCCTTCTCCTCCTCATAGAATCACTAAGGTTGTAAAGCACCTCCAAGATGATCAAGCCCAAGTTCTTACACCCACCCCCACCCCTCAGGGCAGCAGTGAAGCCCATCAGCACTGCCACCCACCCCACGCAAAGGAGGGAATGTGTTTTGGGGTGACTTTGGGGGGTCAGGGGGTTCATTGGGCTGCAGAGGAGCTGCCTCTGCATTGTCCTCCCACCTCCTGCAGCTGAGCATTGTGTTCTCCCCATCACAGGAGCTGTCAGTGTGAGCTGGAGCGTGGCCTGCAGCAGACCACGGGCCATGAGCTCAGCTCTGCCCTCCACAGCCCCGACCTGCTGTGGGAGGATGACTCCCCTCAGGGGCACAGGGAAGCTGAGCCAGCCCCTGCTTCAACTGAGGATGTTTTTGGGATGCATCTGTACCTCAGGCAGGAGACCCCCCTGGGAAGCAGCCAAGAGGAGCGCTGGATGCAGCAGCCTGGGGAGAGCAGCGAGAAGGTGAGAACCTCTCTGTCACCCACGGAGCTGAAACCCCAGCTTCCCAGCCTGGAAAAAGCAGCCAGAGAAAGTCCTTCTCCAAGCCCTCCCGGGAGGGTTGCAGCAGATTTGGCAGAAGCTGTCACCAGCAAGTTCATCATCTTTGCAAACAGGCTGAGCACAGGGGAGCAGAGGGGAATGTCCCCCCCTGGAATGGTGCAGGTGGAGGTACAGAGCCAGACTCAGCCTCGACCTGTGGGTTCTCCCCAGCCTGAGTGGGGCATCTCATTCACACAGCCCATCCCAAACTCAGCTCAACCTCTGCAGGCAGAAGATTCTTACAAAACAGACCTGGAGACAGGATTTCTCCCAAGCTGGACAGAAGCCTTTGAGGTCAAGGAGGTAATAGCTGGAGAAGGTCAGCAGGCCAGAGGAGTCACCTCTCAAGGGAAGACATGCAAGCCCAAGACTGACATTGTTTTCCTGAAAGTCCACAAGAGCGCCAGCAGCACCGTCATGAACATCCTGTTCCGCTTCGGGGAGACACACAACCTCACCTTCGCCTTCCCCCAGGGAGGGGGCTTCCAGCTCTACTACCCCCACCACTTCCTGGCCAGGTTCGTGCAGGGCTTCTCCCCTCTGAGCCCCCGGCGCTTCAACATCCTCTGCCACCACATGCGGTTCCTGCAGCCGGAGGTACGGGCAAAGCTGCCACCCTTCGGGGGCATGGGCAGGGAATGGTGAGAGGGGCTCATGGGGCACAGGGAGGGGAAGCTGTCAAGCAAATAAACTGCAGAAAGGAACTAAAGAGAGTCAGGATTGCCCACGGGTATCTGGCATGTTGCTGGCACCTCCTGAGAGATTCCGTGAGCAGGTTTGATGTGCTGTGAGCCGTGGCAAAGTGGGAGACAGCATTTGTTGCAGCCAGCAACTCTCATCTCTTTCTTGTCTGGTGGGCGCTGGGACATGTCCTGCTCCCTGGACAGGCCCAGAGGGGACCAGCTGCAAGAGGAGAACAACCAAAGTGTGTCAACTCAGGTCAGCCGTGCCCAGCATCCACCCCTCTGGGTGCCACCTGAGGGCAGGTGGACATGGGGAGAGGGAAGGAGATGGGCAGTATCTCCATCCCAGCCCGGCCACACAGCTGTGACACTGTGGGGAGCTGGTCTCACTGCTCTCCCCGTGTGACTCTCCTGGAGCTCCCCACAGCTCCTTTGATGGGCTGCACCCTGAAATCCTCCCCAGCACCCCACCTCCAGCCCCAGCAGCTGCCTCTGCTCACCAGCACTGTGGGCGAGCAGACCCCTTCTCCCTGCCCCACCTTCAAACCCTCCTTTTGCTCCCCCGCAGGTGCAGAAAGTGGTGCCCAGCTCTGCCGTGTACTTCTCCATCCTGAGGAACCCCGTGCAGCTGATGGAGTCCTCCTTCGTGTACTACAAGGGCGCGTCGGCCTTCTCGCGCGTCCGCAGCCTGCAGGAGTTCCTCAGCCAGCCCTGGCGCTACTACGACCCCACCAGCGGCGACCGCCACTACGCCAGGAACCTCATGACTTTCGACTTCGGCTTCAACCCCGACGGAGACGTGTCCCCCGAGCGGGTGCAGCTCATGCTGAGGGCCATCGAGGCGTCCTTCGACTTCCTGCTCATCTCCGAGTACTTCGACGAGTCCATGGTGCTGCTGAAGGAGATGCTGTGCTGGGACCTGGACAGCGTCGTCTCCTTCCCACTCAACATCAGGGACAGCAGCACCAAGTCCCCGCTCGCGGACTCCGTGGTGGAGAAGCTGAAGGCCTGGAACAGGCTGGACTGGGAAATCTACACGCACTTTAACAGGACTTTTTGGGAAAGGATCGACCGCCACATCGGCCGGGAGCGCCTGGGGCGGGAGGTGCGGGCGCTGCGGCGGCGGCAGGCGGAGCTGGCCCGGGCCTGCCTGCAGGGCACGGGCAGCGTGGCCCCCAAGGACATCAAGGACTCTTCCCTGCGGCCGCTGCAGCACGGCGGGGCCAGGATCCTGGGCTACAACCTCAAGCAGGGCTTGCCTCAGGAGCTGGAGCGGACCTGCCGGCGGCTGGTGACGCCGGAGCTGCAGTACAGCAGCCTCCTGTACAAGAAGCAGTTCCCGCCGCCGCCCCCCGAGAGCCCCCGGCCCGCTGCCTCCCGGGCCCCGCCGCGCCGGCTGCGGGCCGCCCGAAACTGAGCCCTCCTGCCTCGGAATCCTCCTCCATCTGCTGAGGGCAGCGAGGCCCGGCCATGCTGGGGGCTGGGGGTGCTGCCCGGGCATCTCTGTCCCTGCCCCGCTCTGCTCCTCTGCCCCTCAGGAACCTCTGCCCCTCAGGAGCCCCTGCCCCTCAGGAACTCCTGCCCCTCAGGAACTCCTGCCCCTCAGGAGCCCCTGCCCCTCAGGAACTCCTGCCCCTCAAGAGCCTCCGCTCCTGTCCCTGCACAAGCTCCGGGCAGCACAGCGGGTCCCAGGGGCTGGACAGGACTTTGGAATTCCAGGAGGAATTCCCCCCAGAGAGCAGCTGGAGCCGCAGGACAGCACCGGCTCCAGCAGCGAGGAGCAGGTCCAGGAGGGCAGCACAAATATCAGCCTGCAACCTGCGAGAGAACAGGGCCAAGCTGTAAGAGCTGTGGGTTTGAGTTACAGCGTGGGAACGAGTCTGTCCGTCTGTCTGTCTGTGCAGCTGCACCTCGCCCCTGCTCCGTTGATGTTGCCATGCTGGAAAAGCAGCGCCTTAATTAAAAATAACAACGGTCACTGTCACTCCTTAAATTCCTGCTAATTACATCAGTCTGCCCCAGTAGGCGACCTCCCCAAAAGCCCCAGAAGCACACCCCAAATATCTGAAGATGTCCTAATATGTCCTGAAAAGTGGGGGAAAAAAAACCAAAAATGCCCCAAAATAAAACAAAAAAAACCCCAACCAATGAAAAAAACAACCAATCCCCCACCCCTCCAAAAAAACCAGAACCAATCAAAAAAAAAAAAAAACTACGAAAAAAGCCCCCCAAAACAAACAACCAAAAAAAACCCACAAAAAAACAACCAACCAAAAAAACCTACCAAAAAACCCAAACAAAACAAAACAAAAAAGCTACTACCAAAAAACCCCAAACAAACAAAAAAACCCCAAACAAACAAACAAAAAAAACCCACCAAAAAAAACCCACCCAAAAAACAAACAACAACAACAACAACAAAAAAAAAAACACAACAGAAAAAAGGGAGCCCCCAGCATTATTTTGTGCTGACTCTGTGGTTACAGGTTGCCTTTGGATGCTGAATTTATAGGATCAGCATCCTGTTCTGCAGTGTCAGACTCAAGTTCCACCCCTGTGCGACAGGGAGACATCTCAGGAACCTCTCTGCAGCCAGACACCCCAACCCACCACTCTGAGCTGCCAGAGGAATATCCTGTGCCCTGGGAAAGATCCCACAGGAATGGTTTTTGGAGGGCAGCTCAGCCTGACTTTTCTCACCCTGCATTTCTCCTTGAATCAAAAGCAGAGCCAGCAAATCGGCTGGGATAAACAGAGGCCCCATCTCTGGCTTTTCAGCACGATTTCCAAACGAAAAAAGGTTCTGAAAAAAACGTCCAGGGAGATCTGAGCATCCCAGGGTGTCCCTGGGGCAGGTGCAGAGTCTCAAAGGTTTCATCTCCCACCCAAAGGTCTCCTGCTCAGTTTAACCAGAAAAAAGCCAGACTGTGCTCCCAGTGCCCTTCCTGGGGCAGTGCCAAGCATCCAGCCAGGCACAAGGAGAGGGCACCATTTGGGGATTTTGCTCCATGGCTTTGGGGTTCCATGGAGTTTCACCTCTGGGGCACACCCGTGTATGGCTGTGTCCATCCCTTCCCTCGTTTCTCCTGCTGGGATGTGGGGTGGGCTCATGGCGTCAGAGGTCTGGGGGTCCTGCAGGTGCCTCCAGAGGGCAATCCCAGAGGAAATCAATGGGATGGGCAGCCCAGAGGCCATGCAGCATCCTGGGGTTGTCTCCCCATGGACACAGCAGAGTGGACGGAGGAGCAGGGCGGGACACTGGGTACCAAACCTGCACCCGACACCTCCACTCCAGGTTTCCATTGGGTGCCACTTGCTTATTCCCTGTTTGCACCTCAGGAAATAGGAGCAGGTCATTCCTGTCAGGAATCTGAGCCAGGGCAGAGATGCTGGAACAGCCAGAGCATCACAATCTCCCTGTGCTGTCCCCCAGGGTGCAGCTCCCATGGGGTGCCCTGGCCCCAGCACAGCCTGGGGGGGAGGATCCCCATTTCCAGGAGGTGTTTCCCCCTTTCCAGAGCAGGGCAGAGGTGGCTTGGGCATCACAGTGACTCCCATTTTCAGGGATGTCTCCCAGCAGGGCTCCCAGGAATGACATCACTCACCCAAATGCCAACCACGGCTTTTTTTTTTTTTTTTTCCCCACAAACTGTAATTTTATGGTTAGGAGTATTTCACATAGTCATGGAGCAGAGCCCAGGGATGCACAGCAGCTGCCTGGGTCTCTTTTTTTTTTCTTTGTACACCATCTCTTGATGCTTTACAGCACCCAAACCCAGGCTAAGCACATCCCCAGAGAAGCAGCTTCTCCCGTGGCCAGTGAATTCTCTTGCCTTGGAGCACTTTTAATTCCTCTCCAAGACTTGCCAGGTTCAGCCTGTGCATTTCAAGGACTTCAGGCCAAGTTTAACTCAAACCCCACCAATTTTTAACAAGTTTCCATTCGTAACTGAAAAGATCAAAGCCCATGCCGTGCCCAAGGCAGTTACTGGCTTATCCTTGGTTTTTAGGGCTGCAAGAGACCCAGTGGGGTTATTGCAGGCATTGCACGATGCAATAACCCCGGGTTGCTCAAGCCTGCCCGTGGAACGGTCCCAGCTCTCTGTAATTCCTGGCAGTACAAGACAACCAGCAATTTATGCAAAAGTGTTCCGTGTTTTCTCTCTGAGGCAGCAGTGTGGGCTTGAAACAGTTCGAACTCTCCAGGGAGGCTTTTGAAGCAATTCCCAAAGGAGCTCAGGGGCTCGGGCATCCCGCGAGGATTCCTTTGTGATGCTTTAAGGACTGAACGAGCTGCAAAATCCTGCACACCGGGAAACCCTTTCCCAGGAAAAGGGCTGCCAGGACCCCTGGGCTCAGGCACGGGGCTCCGACTTGCTCTTCCCTCCTTTCTTCTTCTTCTGTGGTTTGTCACCCTCCACCTGCGCTGTCACCTTTGCCTTGGGCACCTTGTACTTGCTCTTCTGGCTGTAGAGGAGGTTTTTCTGGAAGAGGCGTGGGATGTTGCCCTGGAACAGCAGGAGGGCAGCGAGCATCCCTGGAATGAGAGCACAGACCCCTTCCGAGTGCTGTGTGGAGCATCTCCACCCTCCCCACAGCTCAGCAGCTGGTTTGGCTCCTTGTCACAACCCTCACCGTGACCAAAAGGCAGCTCAGCACCGCTGAAATCCCCACTGAGAGCTGAGGGACCCTTGCTGTACCGCTTTAAGGAGAATTTACCACTCTGTCCTTAAATTAACAAATACTTGTTTTGACCACCCCAGTTCTCTGGCAGAGAAGGGGATGTGCTAGTTCTCTAGCAGAGAGTAATTAAGGTTGGAAAAGTCCTCTGAGCCCATCGAGCCCAGCCATTCCCTCAGTGTTGCCAAGGTCACCCTTGGTCATGACCCAAGGGCCACATCCAGGTTTTTAAATCCCTGCAGGGATGGCATCTGCACCACTGCCTTCAGCAGGGTGCCAGTGCCTGACCACCCTTCAGGGAAGAAATTTTCTCAATACCCAACCTAAACTTCCCCTGGGGCAACTCGAGGCCGTTTCCTCTTGTCCCATCAGAGTTACCTGGTGGCAGAGCCCGACCCTCACCTGGCTCCACTCTCAGCTCACATCCAGCTCACCATGACCACGCCGGAGCTGGGGACAGCCTCAAAGCGTAGCTCAGCCTGCCACTGCCCTGAAACACCTTTGCTAAACCTCCCCCAGACTCTTGCTTCAGGGAGGTGTCTGCCCTTGTACCACGCAGAAGTTGGATTTTTAAAAATTGGATAGCAAAGAGATGACCCCAGAGTCAAGGAGGCAGGATGAAAAGTGACACTTGCCACTGGCACCCCCAAGTTCAGCCCTTTGCCAGAACAGTCCACGTTACACTCAGCACTTCTGCCTTGCCCTGTGCCAGCTCCTGCCCCCTGGGAAGGTCTCACCTGCGAGGGGCCCCAGCCAGTACACCTGGATGTAGTCCCAGAAGCTGCTCCCCGAGCAGTGGAAGGTGGTGGCTGTGGCCAGGGCAGGGTTGAAGAAGGCCCCCGTGTACGGTCCGGCTGTGTGGGAAGAGAAACATGGCCAACAGTCCCACTGCATCCTCTGGAACACTGACAGAGGGCTGAGACCCCTCCTGCCTGCCTTCTCGGGTAGGGGAAATCCCACCCTGGTCACCCCGAGCTTTGTGGGAAGCAGGAAAGCTCAGTGCAGGACTGAGGGATTGCAGCAGGGGAGGTTCCAGGGAGGTGATCCCAGTCTTGAGCTATGGCTGTGAGACAAATTCACCTGGAGCCCAAACTGCCATCTCTTGAGGACTCCCCATGTGTGGAGACACAAGGCTTGACTCCATTTCAGAAGGCTGATTTATTATCTTAAGATATATATTATATTAAAATACATTAAAACTATACTAAAAGAACAGAGAGAAAAAGATCATCGGAAGGCTTGAAAGAACAAGAAGAATAGAATGCATAACAAAATCTTGTGACTCTCAGAGTCTGATGCAGCTGCATCTGTGATTGGCTCTTAATTAGAAACAACTAACAGCACCAGTCACAGAGGCACCTGTTGCATTCCTTAGCAGCAGATAGTTATTGTTTACATTTCTGTCCTGGGGCTCCCAGCTCCTCAGGAAGGAAAAATCCTAGCAAAAAAAATATCATAGCTACAGTCATCTTCATCCCAAAATGAACACTCCCCAACGGAACAGAAAACAAGCACCTTAGTAGTCATTACCTTGTTAACCCCTACCTCTCCAGTCCTGGAAGATGAAAAACGGGGCTATTCCACCCCCACAAATGAGGCACTTTTCCAAATAACTGGGGAGAAGAAACACCAGCACTGCTCACCTGCATAGGTCAGGAAGGTGACAGTGGCTGCCAGCGCAGGGACCCGGTACAGGGGGTGACTCTGTCGCACCTTGAGGAGAACAAGGTGGAACAGGAAGGAGCAGGAGCCCTCCAGGAAGGCAGCGTGGGGCAGGGAGGCGCGGATGGAGGAGCTGCACTCGGGCGCGATCAGGCTCTGGATGAAGTGCAGCTGGCTCAGCTCCCAGGACCAGTAGAGCCGGGTGAGAGCCCAGCCTGCCCCTGCACCCCCACCCTGGGCCAGCAGCTTGGCTGCTGTGGCTGCCAGGCTGGACTCCAGGAGCAGGAACTCCTGCAGGGACACGGTCGGGTTGGCGGATGCTCCGTCCAAAGAGGCGCCATGGACAGCGGAGAGGAGGAAGAGGAGGGTCAGGAGCACGTCCAGGCCAAAGCCACCACCCCAGGGGCCGATGTCCATCAGCATCCTCAGCTCCAGGCAGCTCGTGCACAGCTGGAAGGAGCCAGCAAATTCCCTGGCAAGGCAGCCATGCGTCCCAGGGGACAGAAGCCTCTTGGAAAGCCACCTGAGCACCTGGCACAGCCCAAAAACCAGGAAGAAAAAAGCAATGGAGACATTCAAGCCATCCATAGCGAAGGCTGTGCTGGGGGCAGAGTCTGGGAAGGAGCAGAGGAAGCTCCTGCACCTCCTCTTTTATAAAGCCAAGCAAAAGCAAACGTGGCACAGCCCGACAGGCCTGGGAAAGGCCACACGTGTGGCCCCCGCGGGGCAATGCCAGGGCCACAGGGAGCTGCTGGACTCACAGCAGCTGGAGCTGCCACCAAGTTGTTGTCCCAGCAAATCCTGGTGTTATCTCCACCAGGCACTGAGCCCCCAGCCCTGGCACTCACACCTGAGAGCCCACAGCAGCTCCCCAGAGCAGACAGCTCTTCCAGAAGGAACAAAAAACTTCATTTTCTTTCTGCTTGGCTCCAACGCCTGTGGCTGCCCCAACCCTGGAAGTGTCCAAGGCCAGGTTGGACAGGGCTTGGAGCAACCTGGGCTAGTGGCAGGTGACCCTGCCCATGGAATGGATGGAAAGAAATAGGTTTAAGGCCCCTTCCAACCCAAACCATTCTGGGATTCCACGGTAAACAACACATGATGTGTCTTCTGGGTCATTTCCCTGATCTGCAGCAGAAGTGCCACCACACACTGCAGAACCAACCATAAAATACCTAACATCACAATCCAACTCAATTCTTTCCACCTCCCCTCCCTCCTCCTGCATTTCCCAGGAGAAACCAGTAGAGTTTCCTCTTTAGAAACAAAACCTCACAAGGACCCAGCAACACAGCTTGAATCCAGTCCCTGAAAGAGAACCACCAGATCACAGGACACAGACTGCAAAACTGGGAAAAGAAATTCCAACATCTTTTCCTTCCCCCAGAAATGGATTTTGCCCTTCTCAAGCATTGTAAGAGCTAGGCCTTAGGAAATAAACATTCCAAGGTTTAAAAACTATTTCCCACCCATTGCTTAAAATTCTGCCCATGGCACAGTTGTGGGATGTTTAACCCAGGGTGGAGAGAGGAACTGGGAGCTGCTGATTCCAAGGATAACTATGGGATTAAACAAGGGCAGGGGCTCATTCCCTCATTTGTGTTAGTGCTGACAGGAGACTCCATGCAGCTTTGCAGGGCTGCTCTTCTAGGAACAAAACTAAATAAAAATTCCAATATTCCCACCAAAAACCCCTTTCTGTAGCTGGAAAGTCAGTGTCCTTCTAAACCAAACATGCTTTCAGGGCTTAAAATGCAGATATTTAAGTTTAGCCACTGGACAGGAACAAGTTGGCACTTCCAGATTTCAGCAAAATAAACGTTCCCCCAAAAACACTGAAGGGTCACAAGAGCTGAGCAGACCCACCCTGGCTCCCTTGTTTTTCCCCTCAAAGAGGCAACAGCTACAGAGGAAAAAAAAAAAAAAGAGAAAAAAAAAAGAGTTATAAGGTTATTAGGTTATTTAAGGGAAGTTTCACTGGGCAGAGGGTGGATTAGAGCTTTCCAGGAGCAGACACATGTCCCCAGCTGCTGTGACAACGCAGCAGGAACCTGGGGCAGGTTTCCCTTCATGGTCAGGCAGGAAAAAGGCTCCAGGGGATCCAAGAGTTAATTGTGCTTTGTGAAAGAACCCAAATCCTTAGAACAAGCATTCACCGAGAGTTAAAAAATAACAAAGATAGGTCATCCTTGGCTCCAAAAACCTCAAGGAATCCCAGAAGAATCTGTCCTGAGGAAGGCCAGCCCTGCACATGGTGAGGACACATCTCCCCTCCAGACCATTCTGAGGAGCTGCCCTGAGTCCTGCCAGTATCCTCATTGTTGATCCACAGCTGTACCAAGCTGGATTCACTGCCCACGAGCCCTCCAGGGAACACCAGAACGTGGACCCCGTGCATTGAGGCACATCCAGGCCTTGAACACAGCCTGTCTGCTCTGCCCTCCTCTGCACTGACTCAACACAGCTCCAAAGCAGAAGTCTGGGAGCCCTGAAAGAGAATGAGCAACTCCTGACTTCCCACTGGGAAAATCCCATTAGAAAACCCAAACCACTGGTCCCTATGGGCTGTTTTAACACTCAGGTCAACGGGGATTTGAAATCTTGATGGATTTGACTTGACAATCCTAAAGGTCTTTTCCAAACTCACTAATTCTGTGATTTGAAGTGATGATGTGCTGGAGGACATTCCCACTGCACACACCAGCTGGGAAAAGCAAGACAAGCTGTGTTGGTGCTGCCCTGCTCCCTCCTAACAGGCTGCAAGTAGAAAAGTCACAAAGTTATTGCTCTCACTTGGTGGTATTCCCTCCCTCAAGGAAAAGAAATCTGTCCTTAGGCTGGATTCAAAGCAGGGCAAGCAGCTCTTAGAGAACTTGCTTCCTCCACACATCTGGAGAGCAACAGCCAGAGCTTGGCTGAGCTCAGCAAACTTTCATGTTGCTTTCTCACGTGACTGAGGACAGCTGTTTTTATTAAAAATAATCCTGAGAGCAAAATGCAAGTTATATTTAAAAAGGGGAAAAATGCAGCTGTACAAATCTGCTAGGAGCAGAGATCTATGGATAGCACAGTGCTCCAGCACAGGAACCTCTGGAACTGCACTGAAACCCAACAGTGCTCTTCAGGCACCACCATGAGAATGCTGCTAATGAGGATCCTCACTTTTCACCCACCCTGCTTTTAACCAGCATGCTCCTGGTGCAGTCCAAACAGTTGTGCTCAGCTCTGCAGTAACTCACTGCAGGTGAACAGCAGCCCTGAAAGGGAGGAACTGCTGCCCCCAAACTTACTGCCTGCAAGAACAATGTTTTAAATACACAATATCTTGAACAGGCTGATCTCAAAAAATGGGGGCTGCTCTTGGGTTTAGTCTCAGGCAGGTCCAAGTCTCAGGGTCAGTGCAAGGGATGAGCAAGTTCACACAAGACTTAGGAGGATTTACCAAGGACTTGAAACTTTCAGCCATGCAAGCCAAAATCAGCCAAAACCCTGCTCTCCTTCAAGTACCAAAGTCCCAACAGTCCTGAGTCCCACTAAGCACCTTCTCCTCCTGTCCACTTTTCCCCCAGAAATTAAATGCCAAATCACTTAAATGCAGTGTTAAAGAACACCAGTTTAAATGCACAAAGAGTGGATCATATAGGAAGACAAAGATACTACAACAAATTGGTAACCCTGAAGAGACAGGCTCTGAGCAAACCAACGTTCTCATGTCTGGGTGAAGCAGCTGCTGGAGATGAGTGGTTTCTTCATTTCCTTTTGTCAGTGTACCAGCAAAGCTTGTACAACATGCAAGAAAGGGGAAGAGCCCATTTCCCAGCAGCACAGGGGAACACAGGCCATGCCAAGTCCTCGCCATTCACAGCTGAGGCAGGAACTTCATCCAGAGCCAACTGACCCGGACTCAACCCCAAAGCAAATCGCTCCTTGTCCTTGGCTGGACTGGCAGGCAACATCCCACAGCCTTTTTGTAGGTCCAGTGGAAAACAGAAGTGGCTCTCTGCAGCCTTGGAGGCCAAGAGGAACCATGGATCCCATCCCAAGTCCTTGAAGAGCTGTCGGCAGCCGGTGCCCTCACTCCCATGGTCCAACACTGGTGATGGAGCAAATCCAGGAGCCAAATCTTCCAGCAGGCAGCAGGACAGCTCCATTCCCATGGATCCTGTGCCATAATGTTTATGAGCAGGACAGTGGATGGTGCCCAAGGTGCAACAAAGCAGAGCTCTTTGGAGCAGCTCCTGAATCATCACCACATCTCCAGAGGTCACGGGCCCATCAGTCCCACCCCAGCACTGGCCAACAGAGGGGGAAGGTGCAGCTGGGATGGACCAGGCTGGTATTTGCTCTGCTCCCTCCACATGGAGGGCGAGGGATCTCTTCCACAGTGGGTGACAAGGGTGTTTTGGAGCTGCTCTCCTCCCATCAGCGATCCAGAGTTTTTCTGGGAGGCACACAGCAAAGCTTGTGGGGATCCCAAGGCTGGTACTGACACTGATGAGTAATAAAACTTTAAAGAATAAGGCTGGTTTAGCATAAAATTATATCCACCATCATTAAAGCATTCATAAGAAGCTTAATTACAAATACATTCTGTTAATCTCAGTAAAACAGTGACACATGAAGCCTTTCAGATACTCTTGTTATCAAAGGTATAAACTCATGACAGGGAAAAGGGGGAAAAAAGCCCCAAAGGTTTTTTAAAAGTTTATTTCTAGCCCTGAAAGACAGTTATTAAACAAAGTCAACAAATACAGTAGTTAATATTGCAGTAACAATTAAATAACATATTGGGATTAAATTACACAAAAGGCAACATTAACATCTGAAGACAGTTAAAAAAATAAAAAGAAAGCTTGCACCTACTTCCATTCCCATCAAGAGCATAAGGAACAGAGGGAAAAACAGACCAGAGAGATTTATTGACTCAATTCCAGCTGGAGAGACCCCTAATCACATTATCTTTGCTCCCTCCCCAGCCCCTCTGACAACGGGACCCATCTGCTGTAGACAAACCTTTTCACCTCCCTGCACAGAGCCAGGGGGGAAGGCTCCAATTAGTCTCATTAACACCTAAGGCAGGGCAAAGTGCTCATTCCCATGGTTATTTTCAATAAGAACTCTGCTTTGTTGTATGATAACAACATCCCAGTAATCTCACACTCCCTGCACACTCGCACCTCAGCCAAAAGCTGCCCAGCTGACACTTCACAGGGATTGTGTGCATGTCTGAGCCCCATTCAGGATCAGGTGGGCACCCAAGAGGGATGCACAGGAATCCCCACATCTGGATGCAACTCATCCCTTCCCATCATTTCCTCCAGCCCTGCACCCACCCAAGGGCTCTGCTCTGCTCCCACTGGGGAAAACCCACGCCTTGGAGCTCCTCACCTTGCAGACACCCTCAGAAAAGTGATGCCTGGCCCTCCAGACACAACAGCACAGCACAAAAACCTTCTCCTGGCTCGCCTCTCCTGCCAGCCCCACCTCTGATCCCCATGGAAAGCTCAGCACAGAACAGCTGCTGCGTGGGGCCAGGGAGATGCTGGGAGCTGAACACCGTCCCAGGTCACACACACAGTTTGGGAACTTGGGATTGGGCCAAGTTTTGTGCATTAGGATGGGTGAATCTTCAGAAATTGTCTCCTAAGCAGGCTAAACTGGACAAATTTTGCAACATATGTTTTAAACCGTTCTCATTCACCAGTAAAAATGAACTAATAAGTTAAAATTACTTATGATTTCTTGTTTTCTATTTAAAAAAGCTAAATTTATCTAGATTGTGCCATTAAAGGAAAAAAAAAGATGAAAGAAAGAAAAGCTCCCATTTTAACTCTGGCACAAGGAGTTTCACCAAGTCCATTGCCAGCAATGGACAAAGAGGGAACCACTGGTACAACAGGTTTTTTCCTCAGCCAAGCCTCCTCACTGCTCCGTTTGACCAGGGAGCCAGGACACACTCAAAACAGGGTGATTACAGTGCCCATGGCTCATAATAAGCTTTTTTTTCCAGGCAAATGCACTTGGACTACCTTACTTGGCATGAGACACTTCCTTGAATTTAAAATTTAAAGCCATAACTGTTGTCACACTTACAGCAAGAGAGATTGATCCCTGTGAGGAACAGTTAAGACAATTAACCCACCAGATTTTAACTACCACACAGGAGCAAAACACAAGCTGAGCCTGCCCAACAAGGCACCCTGCTGGCCCCACAGGACCCCCAGGAGCTGTGAGACCCCAGCCCTGCTCCCTCCACCATGCCCCCCAAACTGCCTCTGCCATCCTGCCCAGCCACTCTCACCTGGAAGTTTGTTTTGTCATACCTTGGCTACCAGTCCCCAAAATGTCATTCTCTCTACAGAGATACTGAAATTCTCTGAAAATCACTTCTATCTCCTGCCAGCAATGTTTGGAAAAGTGTGCAAAAATTTTTATTCAGGGTCCTCTGTCCACACCCAACCACAGCTCTGTCTGTCCCAGGCCCTGCCCCACTGGGAATGCAATACAATCCCACTAAAGTCATGGTTATTCTTTCACAGACTCATTTGGCACATTGGCACTACTTGGCTCTTCCTTAAACACTTGGGGAGGTTGAAATGCATAGACTGTAGCATTAGAAGGGGCAGAGGCTCTGCTAAACTCAACCCTGGCAACACCCCAAGAACTCAAGCGCTCAGGCTGTCGCTGTCCTTCAGAAAGAGGCACTTTTTGTTGTGCGCAAGGGTTGGCTGCAGCCATCCTGGCCAGCACAGAATCCTCAGTGACAAGGATGAGAGTGACACCAGCCAGTCCAACAGGCCCCACGATGGTCTGACAGCACTGCTTCCCCTCTGCTTCATCTCACAACTTTGGCACCTCCAGGTGTTCATCATCATCTGTTCAGATCATGTTTCCAAAATCCTGTATCATCAGTGTCCTCAGATCTGCTTATTTGTTCTTCTGGTTTCATTAGTACAAATGGAGCACATACAAAACTGGAAAAAAATAGCTCTAATACTTTAAACTCTGACAACTCCATAGGTTGATGCATTATTTGCTTGGCGGGGGGAGGAGGGGGGAAATTACAACATATACAAAAATGTATTTGATACAAAGAAGGGAAATGTAAAATAAAAAAAGTCAAAGGCACCAGCATAACTTCCAAAGCCCAAGTCAGAGCACAGATACAAGTTTGTGAACCACCCACTGCACCAAGCACGTTATCCCTCAAGCTTCTGGCCAGCAAGTCTAACAGGGGAAAAAAAGAGCAGACAGGAAGACAGCTGGAATTTTTTCTTGCCCTGACTAGAACTGATCATTTGATCATAAATAAAGTATCTGACCCCAACCTACACATCCATAACCCACATCCAAAGACTTGACCGATCATTATGGTTCTACAAAGAGGCCACATTTTTGATTTAAAAAAATGTCCACAGAGCACAGGTATGAGAAACAGCTGAATACTTCTCTTCCCCCTCTCTCTCTCTCCTTTTTCATCTTAAAAAGTGAAAAGAATCTCCATACATTACGATTCCTTAAGTAACCGAGTTGTTGATTCTACAGTACAGCGACAGCTAATCCAAAACAGAAATGAGGGGCAAGATGTACCTTCACATTCGCCACACCTGCCGTGAATCTGGTCACTGGGAGCTTCCCACAGGGATTGCAGGCAGAGGGGAGGAAGAGGAGAGTCAAAGAGATCAGCAGGTAAAATTAGTACTGCTCTCTGAAAGCTTGAATCTGTCATTCAAGTATTGAAAGTACCCAGAGGGTACAACGGGAGCTGTTACAGCGAAGTAAAACCCCTTAAAGCCCCGGGCACAGCAAGTGGTATTTCTGGGCTGTCTGGGAAACAAAAATCAGAATTAAAAAAACCCACAAAGGCCAGTAATTCAGCCCTCAACTCCTTCTGGACCCCAGACAGGGATCTCTAGAGTCGCCACAATGTATTTGGGTGTCTTCTGGATGAGTTTCTTCCCTTTTGCAGACGTTTCCCACCCCCACAAAAACCCTTCCCTCCCCCCCCGAAGTGTAACAATTTCATATATTATAAAGATTTGTAAAATACAAACAAACAAAAAAGGAAGAAGGCTGTGGCAGGATGTTAGCGGTTACTCTTCATTGCTTCTTTGGCTGCCAGGATCAGTGGCGTCAAGCTGGACAGAGGTTTGGCCAGTTTCAAGAAGGGATGCTGCCAGGAAGACAAACGCGAGGAATTAGTGAAAGACACACTTTTAAAGGTTTGATTTGCAGCAGGATTCATGTTTCCAAAGAGCTAGGCAGCAATGAATCTGCATTTTAACTGCTGATTTGTGTCATGTGTTTCTCCTGATGGTTACAAGGACAAAACAATCCCAAGCTGGCTGGAATCACACTGCCTTGCCCAATGGAGTTTCTCTTGGAATATCTCACTGGTTTTGAAAAGGTAAGTATTGAAGCTGCACTTGCAATGAGCAAAACAAAGATCTAAACAAGAAAAAATCAGAGAAAGGCAAGAAGCAGCAGCTGGCTTTAGTGGGAAAGCCTCTACACCACCTGCCTCAGAGCTACTCCTTGCTCTCCCCAGGAATGGCATCAGTGATTCTCCCACACCTTCACACAATGCTGCCTACAAGCAGATCTCCTTTAACAAACCAGCCTTTCTCCAGTGCACAGAAAGTATTTAAAATCAAAACTAAAAGGAGAAATGGTGTCACTGCTCCAGCTGCTCAGCTTGTAGGGCAAAACCCATTGGGGAGAAAGGAACTTTTTCTTTTCAAGGTTTGAACACTGATGCAGACCAGCAGAAATATGAAAAGCAATGCAAATGCCATCAATGGCCACCCTCTGAAAGGAGCTTCTAAACTACTGGGCACTTTGGCAGTGGCAGAGTGAACTCACAGATTATGATGGAACAACTTTGGAGTATATTATAAATCTTTCCTACCAACTGCTCTCACTACAGTTCCCAGGAGAAAACACACAAAAAAAGAAGAAAGGGTGCCAGTCTATGGAGTGGTTCATTACAGGCTGACCTGATTCTGCCTTCTGGACCTCACTGTGAGAAGAAGTGGAGTCTCACCTGTAGCAATTCTTTGGCTGATCCTCTTTTCTCCACATCCATCTCCAAACATCGGTTCAAGAAATCCCGGAATATTGGGGACAGTTTCTCGGGGTTCTGGAGTTCTGGTGTGCCATTAGTTGCTATCAAATATAAAGCCTGTAAAATGAAGAATAAGGTATAGCCAAAACCAAGCTTTAAAAGATGTCAAACTGACCTGCCTTGTGGCAAGCCCTCAGATGAGAGGGCTCTGCAGTTACTTCTCAACTTCAGATTAGAACTGTAAAAATGCCACACGTGTAGGCACTCATGACCTATTCTTGCTAGTAGCAAAATAATATTCAAGATCTTTTGGCAACAGATACTGACCTTAGCAAAGAAAACATCAGTTTGTGACACAGCAGAACTTTCCATAATGTCTTGGGTTTACTTTCCTGAGACTATCACAGAGGCCTGAGGTCAAAGTCCTGTGTTTTATTTACAGGCAGGCAAATCTTTCTAAGTATTATCACAGAAT